GTTTGTTCGGCTGTGTTGCTTTGGTTGCTGTCACTGCAGAAAACCCCGCTTCACAGAAAAAGAATGTCGGAATGAACAACATGGATTTCAATGTTGTGGTGTCAATCTGAGAGTAACATACCATGACTTCAATCCTGAAAACCGACACAGTTGTTGTCTCCAATGTGGTTTAAAGACCGCCGTCATTTCAATCTCCGACAGTTAATCTTCTTCTTGCTCTGGTATGCTAGATTCATCTGGTTTGTTGGCAAATTGGTCGCGGATCCATTCCTTGCCAGTTCGTGAGTCTTTTGTGGTTTGGAAGTAGCGCTCGAACTCTAATAAAAACAAAGCCAGGTTATCGTACTTCAACTAGGAGAATGATTGTTCAGGGTCAGTCTGGCCTAAAATCCCCGCCAATGTTTGAAACATGCCCAAATTGCCTCTGTTCAAGCGCCATCTCCACATCCTCAGTTTAGCTTTAAATACACTTTATTTGTCTACCAACTTGAAAACAGTTGTCATTTCCCCTGAAGGGATAGATTGAGTTCATCGAGCAGGTTAAGTATGTCATATAGGTAAGCCAGTTTTGCTATTCATACCTTGTCACTGAAATGTGCTGACAGGGGTGACTCTTCATTGACAAAAATTTGCAATGGCAATTGTAATTCGATTTTCCTCTGGATAACCATCTTACTTTTGGGTACAAGAGAAAGCTTCTGTACTCTGAGTCCATCTACTCACAAAGCTGCCCAAACGGGCGCGAGTTAAGTGCGTATGGTTTGAGGTGGTTATTAACTTCAACATCAATCAATTCGCTAATAACTTCCGGTGACATTTTTCGGCTTGCCAGCATTTTCCTGTGATATAAGTGCGTGAATACTCTTAGGTGCAACCTCCTAAATCCGAGCAGTTAAACCAGACAGTCCTCCGGTCATGGCAGCAGCTCCGTTTATACAAATGTCCACAGAAAAGGACCATTTTAATTGTCCTGATATATAACCATCCAGTGACTTGCATAGTTCTGCTCCTGTGGCGTTTGTTGGTAAAGATAGTGCACATAACAACTCCTCCTGAGAAAGAGATTGCACATAAACAAGTAGTATTGCCTTGTTGTCGATATCTGTAGATTCGTCAAACTGGAGTGCGTACCACGGTGATGTATTAATCCTCTCCAACAATTATGTCTCAATGTCTTCGGCTATTTCCTCAATTCGCCTAGTCACAGTGTTAGCCGACAAAGACTAATGTGCTATCTTTTTAGCAACAGCCTCCTCTAGAAGTTCACGGCAAATGTACTTACTGGATGACAAGATTAATTTTTCATCGATAGTAAATGGATTTTTAACCTTAGCAATACGGTTAGCTGCCAAATATGATGCTCTCAGTGAATTCGCCTTTAATGATGTGTGGTCATTAGAAGTTGCTTCTGTCCTTCGTGTTCCCGTTTTATTCAAAATGCTCCAGGGGCTTGTCTTTTAATCCATGGTGCTCGGCGTTCCAGTGGCAAAACAGTTTTGAAGGTTTCATTTCCTCTTTAGTTAACCGGTCGTCGCAACCTATGCATAGGGGGGTGGTGTGTGGGAATCACCTGTCCCGATAAATCCATATTTCAAGCAGGACTCATGATATTGCCTGGTAAAAGTCCTATGTTGCTTTGAAGCTGAAGGCTCTTTTTTGTCTCTTCCTAGGGTCTATTATTTTCCAAAGGAAGCTTTCTAACGACGTCTGTTTCGTACTCATTTTTGCTAATTTGTGGGTCAAATTTGAGCGCTCAAGTGACCGTGATGTAACCAGGGTAATGAAACATCTTTGAACTCAGATAGTAAATATGAACGAAAAGGGGGGAAACAAACAATATACACTTACATCAAACACTATTAAACATGAGAAAGTACAGGTGAACAGAGAGAAAAACTATACATACCTTCTCTCTATCAAATCTACAACGCCGCTGCCGCTCGTAGCCGCTCAACGCCCGGTTAACCTCTCATCAATGAAAACTCGCAAAATGCTGACAGAAATACCCCACATTAAATAAAACGGAAATAAGTTAAGTTTCTTTCGCGGCCCGGTACCATTTGATGCACGGACCGGTATCGGTCAACGGCCAGGGGATGGGGACTACGTGACTAGACGGTCCCTTCTCAGATAGTATCAAGCTGCCTCTACATTCAAGTGAGCATATATTAGTTACGCACAGTAAACATCACTCCGGATAGTGATTAAGAGACTACTCTGTACTTTTTCGCCTTAGACCCTACTGCTTGCTGGACGCTGGCAAGTAATCACGCCGTCAAATATCTCCTTTATGAAACATAGCAGAATGACTGGCAGCTACCACGATCAACAAATCGGTTAGGTATGGTCACCACAATATCGTATTCACATATAAATGCTTGATGCTCTGTAAACACCATATTGTAGCGAGAACAACACGGGAGGGGAGATGAGTTTGTATTACCACAACAGTGCACAAACAAACAACCCGCAAACCCGGACAGATATGGACGGTTTTTCCTTCCCACGATGCACCTCGGATGAGGATGTGGGAGACGGATCATTCCGTTTGCTTTACGAGCTTGAACCTACGGAACAATCTCTCAATGTTTCATCCCATATCTCTACTTCGCTGTATCCAATTCTGGCCAGCCAAGAGTCGTTCGAAAGCTCGCGATTTGCTTTCCCGTGGCTGCTTCACTCGGCCCACGTTCAGTCCTATGGGCTTCGCTAGTGGCTTATTTGTCTGATTCACCGCATTCTCGACAAACACCTTCTTCGTTATTGTGGGCCTAGGCTCGTTATCTGACCTCGTTCATATTCCGCTCTCGGCTCGATCTGCAAGGCTCGCGCCGCCTTGTCTGGTCTCATCTATGAGGCCCGTTGGTGCTTTCCTACCATCCAGTTTTTGTTGTCCTTCCGGTTGCCGAGTAGTTCTTGACTTCCGACTCCGTACAATATGACGTATTGGCAGGTGTACAAATCGCACTAAAATGGCAACATCTGCCTAGCGTTCACGCTTTCACTAAGCGATCGCTGCCTTGCCTGCCTGAGCTACCGATATCCCCTATACAGATTTCCGTTGTAGAAAAAAGCACCTTAGGCGTTCAGCGAAACTTTTCTGCACACGGATGAATTATTCATTATTCCTAGTGTGCATAAGCTTTTTCGTTCGGGTTTAAGCTCAGTATGAGCCGTCCACAAGTTGGCAATTCTCAAATTCACTTCGCTATAACACTGCATCTGCCAATTTTGGCTATGGATATTAGTGATATCCTGGAAAAGAAGTTGAATCGTTGGCACCCTCTATATTCCTTAAGTTACTGGTTGGAATCTGTGTACAACTCCTGCGTCATGACTGACCACATTTCACCTACTTCCCAGTGAAATATAAAGGATGGTCAGCAAAACTTCTGGAGTTGTCTAAAACTCCTGTCTACCTTAACTCCAGTTTCTCTTCTGCGATCTCTGCTTTGAGCACAATCAACAAAACAAGGAGTTCTCCGCTATATACAAACATTACACAGTGAAACCGTATCTGCTACTACAGTCTAAGTCGCGCATAATTACTATGAGAGAATTCGGAATTAAACGTGGTGAGAGTGTTTATTATCCGACCATATCGATTTCGCACAACTACGTAGAACTTTGGGATTCATGTACATAACACATTTCGGTCACTTTTCAGGCCTCACCGTAAATCCCACCTCGTTCACATCAGTTGGACCTGCCAGACTGCTATCGTTTCATTAACGTTCTCCAGTGCTTACTGAAACACGCCTACGGTTTCAGCTCATTATATCGCGGTTAAAAGTAGGCAAACAAAAATTATCTAATTCCACATTATGCTTTAACTAAGTAGCTTACAACACATATATCAACTGTCACTGCCCTACATGACACACGTGGCTAAAAATGGATTTTAGCCAAACTTTTCATTTTGATGTCCGAATTTCTTCTCTTGCCGGGCATCGATCCCGTCACGAGCACACAAAGAATGTGTACGCGCAGGTAATACTAACTTACATGGCGAAATAACCACATTTTCTAGTCTATTTGTTTAACATGCTCACAGTCACAAGAGTCGCAATTATTGACGTAGTTTCATCAGTAAATCCAGGTTATCAGTTTTCCACATGAATTTTGACATTTCCCTCCCATCAGAAGGTTTTATGAAATGCACATGGATATTTGCTTTTGACCTCCCGAAAACACTGGTCTGCCCCACCGTAATCAAAGTTGTCTGCTCTCATCAGATGCAGCTAGCACTCGCTCAGAACGAACCAACCGATCAATCAACAAATGTGGTTACAAGCCTTACTGGTTGCGAATCTGTGATTTAGGGGTGGGGATTTCTACTGACTTCCAAAGGCTCCAAGTTCGAGTGGTTCCCCTTTCTCTCGCTCAAGTACGAAAGCGCACGTAGAGTACAGTGTTTTCGGGTAGACAACACTAAATATCCATCCACTTCATCAGTTATGGTCACAGTGATCAAATCGATCGAGGTTGACCTGGTTACGAATCGTGGTAAACATTGAGATTGTGCGTCTCGATCTAATCACACAACCAACGCTTCAAAACGACTCCTCCAATCTGCGGTATAGAATGGTTTTGGCATCCTTCGCAATGCAACTCCTGTAAACTTCACGCTCCATCTGTGCGCATCACTCACTGCAGTTTCATTTGTTGAATCCATCAGTGATGAGATGTGTAACAGGTTTCGTAGATTCACACAAAAATGAAACTACTAATCGGGATGTGCAAACTACGAGTAAATAAGAGATAATGAGAATTCAACATCAAATTGAGTTTGAACTTCTCCATCTAAGGTGCATTTTGTTTTCACTCTCATGTTGTGTCCGTACCTGCCTACAACCATGCCCACGTTTACGTGTATGCCAGACAGAAGTTCGTGTCAACCTTGTGTGCGATCGACATTACGGGTGGCGGTAACAGTGTATGTTTACATTGCTGGGTCTAAATAGTAACTCGTCAAACACTCCGTTGTGTCCCCGTTAAAACTTGATCCGAAACATCCTGAGCTGTTAATGTTACTGTAAACGGACATTACCGGAATAGGATTAGACAATCCGGCCGGCACATCCAGTTTTTGTGTGCTCGGTGGAACCTTTATAAGTGGTCGAATACTACACGCAGTACCCATGTATTCAGTGAAACAGAAGCACGCATGAATCGTGGAGTGCCTATTATGCTTGTGTTAATACTACTTACTCTCCCACTCGTGTGTGGAAACGAGGTACCACTTCAATGCCCAAATGGGTGCTCTTGTACTGGACAAACAATTTCTTGCCGTAGAGCTGGAATGCGAACGGTTCCACGATTCCCCCATATAGTTCCTGGCCCAAATGGTGGAGCATTGCAATTCCTCCTTATAACTCAAAATCCAATAATTCGCCTGGAAAGGGCATCGTTTGAAAAGCAACCCGATCTACTACAGCTCGACCTTTCGTTCAACCAAATGGTATGGGTATCAAAAGACGCGTTCTTGGGTGTACCGAGTTTGCGAAGTTTATCACTTAGAGGCAATCGTTTAGCCTACTTGCCTCACCAGGTGTTCATGCCCGTTTTTATGCTCGAAGATTTGGACTTATCCAGAAATCAATTGCGAAATGTTCCATTGTCTTTGGAAGGGTTGGTGTATTTACGGCGCCTGTCACTTTTCGGTAATCCGCTTCATTGTCCTTGTGAATCAGTAGACTTGTCGATCAGCCTCATTCAGCTGGAGCCCCCACGTACAAAAGTAACATGCCTGACCCCTCCGGAGGTAGCCCATTTCCAGCTGGCGGATTTGGGACGACGTGTATTAGATGTGGTGGACACGACACGGATGTACGGATACCAGGCTGTTGATGATTCAGAGAGAGAACACTTCATTCGAACACAACCATTCGTTCCAATACCAAAAGAACTGAAGTATCCCTGGCCTTGGCCTCACTGTCCTGTGAGAGACTTTGGTGGATTGCAGTCGCAGTTTATTACAGACTCTTCCGAAGAAGAAGGTTCACTAGTTGACGGAGATGAGGACTTGCATTTTTACGCAGCTACGAACTTGGGGCTACCGCGTTGGACTGACACTCCACAAAGCGTGCAGGTTGTGGCAGGTGATCTAGTACGTTTTGTTTGTGGTGCTGAAGGACAAAGAGATCTTCAAATCAGCTGGGCAGTGCCGCTAAACGCAACAAAGCACATGCGACTACTGAGGAGAAGACAGGTGAGGTTAATATCGGCTTCATAATTGACATCTCAGGTTGAATATTTGCACCCATCGGTAAACATATTTTTAATCCCTGTTTAAGGCTCGGGTTAGCGGCCGTTGTTAAGATTTCCACTCTACAAAGTACGATGCTACCTATCTAGCAATTTTGCATAATTAAGAAGCTTTGTTGTTCATTAGTATTGTAGGCCTTGAAGCTTTCAGAGGCAGTCATATTATAAATAATAAAATTTCAGATAAAAACGAAGAAGAGAATATAGAATGTTTGTTGCACGTTTTAGTGTCCGGAAAATTGAAGTCAAAACCAGTTCCGTACAAGAGGTTAGGCAATAATTATTTCATTCGGTGCATCCAACGATGCGAGTTACTTTTCAATGTTATCTTTTCTACTCGACTTCAGTAAAACAAGCACCGCACCCCTCTAAAACCTTTGCACGATCAATTCATCCGCCCAGAAATCGTTAACAGAGCGCATTCCATACGCACCCAGCGCGACTAAAACCCACGACTATGAGACTGTTATCAGTAAGACTGGATATAACTGATGAGTTTCCAAGAAAAATATAATCAGAATGCCTCCTTTGATAAGTCACTCTAAATCCGAGTGGTATTTGCCACTGGTTTCCTGATTCAGTCGAGTAGCAGCGCCGGTACGCTACTGGTCTTATTGGAGGCACACAGGCTCAAGCACACATGCTGTCCCATGTTACAATGATAACAACCGCCACGAAGGAAATCGCTGAATGAGTACAATCCTGTTGACAGCAATAATAATAATAATACTAATAATAATAATAATGTATATTACTTGTGCTAATGCGCACATTTCTCCTGATCCGCGAAATTGCGACTGTGGCGACACAGATAAATTTGTACAAAGCTATCCACGCTATTGCATGCGCAATAGGCATAGTTGGACTACTGGGGCATGCGATTTATGTAATAACGTTCTGGTGAATGGTTGAGGCGAAAGCCACGTTTTGAAAAGTTCGGTGTTTAGATGATTATGTAGCCTGTTTCCATTGTCCAATCGACTACTACAGAGACCAAACCACTACCGAAATGGTGCTCGCTTGTTGACAGGCGACCCATCCGGGCATTAAAATCTCCGGCAAGCATGACGAAATCAGACTTTTTGGAGGAACGCAGAAGATTAAGTAGTTGTTGATAAAAGCAATCCTTGACTGCATCCGGGCTGCAGTGTGTACGAGCGTAAGCGGAGACGACAAATAAGGCACGCATGACGTCTCGACTCCTACTTAACTTATCTGAACCTCGTACTCTGGCCGCACACAGCCAACTTTTGACTGGGATCCAGTCACTCAGTGCAACCCCAACGCGAGCCTGGCCAGAAGCGGCAGCCTCTGAGTTCCCGGAAAGGTGCAAATGGTATTTGACTTTTGTGTTTGACAGTGAGATCATTCTGTTGACGGTACTGAAATCTTTCAATCTGGTTTCCGAAAGTGAGCAAATGCCTGCCGTAAACGTCTGAAGTGTCGAGTCAGACAACAATGCTGTTCGATCTGAATCAGAGTGCAAACACCGAACGTTGCTAGGCCGAATGGTGGCCGGAAACCTGAACTTATTGGCCATTAACTAGGAAGAAGTATAGCTCATTGTAGTTCTAGAGAAATACAGCACAGTTATCGAGACGATTGGTGTTCAGAATAGAGATACAATGATTGTATGTTTCTCGTATTCGCTATCATTACCATGACAAACAAGTGTTGGTATTGTGGAACAAACCAGTAAAACGATAGATGAATTCATTCTGCTCCCATGGTACATTTATCCAACCAACTATTCATTCTTAGTCCAGCTATCCTCCGATGTCACCTTGAGGGATTTCGTTAATCAATCCAACAAGCCAGTAACGAGTACTTTGAGTTAGAATGCTGTCAAAGCAGTCTATGCTATTAGAATTCATTCTGGCCCGAAGGTACGTTACCGTCCTACGTAGACCAGTGGTACAAGCTGGTGGCTATTGTCACAGTTTGCTAGTGGTCACGCGTTCGGACCTTGATGGAGTCTAATAATGTGCATTAGCAAGGAGTCCCAATTGGACGAAACAACTGGCCAGTACATTTTCTGGTATGTGGTTGACTACTTGACATATAGCTTACTTCAGATAATCCTCAGGTCTTTTCCTTTTCAATCACTTCCCAAGGCTCCACTTTTTTCAGCCTCATACCAGAAAAACAGGCGGCAGCACTACGCTAGACGAGCATTCGATAAGCAGGATAATTGGCTTTTACTTTTTAGTAGAGTCGTAAATTCAGTTAGCGCGAGTGATCATTAGAGCGTTTTGAGTGACCGTATTTTATGTCCCAATTGGGCACATACAGAACGACGGTGGGCACTTTGAACATCTTCGCTGATACATACTACCATTTAACCTCATGCCTGTCAAACTACTTGTCCTCGAGTACAAATGAATTACACATACCAAATTGGTGCACGAACGTATGGTGTCAATAGTGTGTTGGGGTATACCCAACTCTGAGAGAGCTCTGAGCCACGAATGCGTCCAAATCTAACGTGGAACGTCTAATAGAAGAAAGTGCCTTTGTTGCTAAAGCTGTTTGGTTGAAGCTCGTTATCTGGCTACAAGAGTGCTGGCTATAACTGTGTTTCGCCATTAACATTGATAAAAATAAGCGCCCGTCGTACATTCATTGCGATACCCTAGCTCTATCGCAGTCGACTCGATACCGACCCACTGACACTTGCAGTTTGCATTGTTGTTTCGTTTCACATATAGCATGGCACACCGATATCCATCGTTAGTTCCACTGCAACTCGCCTACGGTCGGACGTGACCGTCAGCATTCTCGGAAAATTTAGCTTACGGCGGTCCATAGTGGAGGAGTTGTCAGTCGTTCGACTACGTTTTGTGACTGTCTGCGCCTCATCTCTCTCCACGGCCATCCGTGCGAGGGACCTGAGGTAAGGTGACTCAGTTGCATGAGTGCGCTAAAATCTATGGTCTGCACACGATTTTACACGCTTCAAACGCGAGTCGTGGCTGAATTGCTGGGATCGGCGCAGTTTCATCGGACACGCTGCGCACGCTATTTGCTGCATTGACTACAAGGAATAATACAGGGATTTGTGTGATGGGAACACGGATTGCTTCGGAAGTGACCAACACAGCATTCTGCGCACAAGTAATGTTAAATAATGGGAAATATTCACATCAGACATAGACAAAAGTTTGGCTTGGCGCTATCCCATTCTATACGGCATGGAGCCGTGTAGCTTCTTCACAATGACTGTGCCGCTGTCTCCTCCAGAAGGCACTAGTAGTCTCCTGGATCTAGTAATCGAGTTGGAAGTATTCCACAGGTAGGCATTTGCTCGGTTTAAAGCATTGAGCAACCACGTATTAGGGCGATTTTTTCATAATTGGAAGCGGCGCACTACCTGCCGTGCTGTATTTGGTTGCGCCCCTTATCTATGATGTTACTATGCCCATTAGTTTTAGTTGCTGTTTTCGTGATGCGATATTACTTCCACAAAGCAGATGAGCTTAGCTTGCCTTTACTAACAGAGCAGTCAAAGTATGACACTGCAAGCTTACAAGATGGCCAATCTATGGTGCAGTTTATGGTCTCAATGAGCGATATAAGGAGTAAGACGAACTACTTTTTCTCATCCCCTTTTATCTTCACAAATAGAACATTTACATGGATGTAACAGCTACTCGGTTAGACTTTATCAATGCTATGTACAAATGGTGGACGCTGACTATCTCATGATAAGACCCTGAACTAAGACATGTTATAGCACAATGCCTTTCCCTCGCTTGTCTCATCCATCTCAAGCTTCGACCTAGGTCCACTCAACAGTGTTCCACCAACACCAGTGCCTTGCTTCTTGGCACCACGACAGTAACCATCGTTTCATCTGAGTCGTTTCACGCGAACTCACAAGCGTTCCTTACTAACACATTCGTTCGCTTTGTCAACGGCTGCAATATACTAGTGGTTGTATACAGACAAGCGAATGCAAACCGTTGCTAACCCGTCAAGCGGTTTACAGTTGGTGTCGTGCTCTTCCTCAAATGTCACTACAGCACATCATGCACTGCAGTGCATATGACGATGGTCGCCTCATCATTCAACTCGACGATACCTTACACAGAACAGCAGTTAAGAGGTTATTCGGCCACCCCCAATATTATTTCACATAGACGGACAAGTGCCTGCAATTTCGTTTTATTAGCAAACGCATCGGTAACCATGACACAAATACATGAGATATTCCCCCAGAGGAAGCTCAGTTGAAGGAACTCGCAATACGGACAGTAGGCAAGTGCAACCACCGGGGCCCTTTCACGCAAGTGAAGGTTAGCATGTTACGATCTTTCTGACGCCACGAGCCCAAACTCCAAACCAGCCAAGCTTCCGCAACTGCACGTGAACGATGGTCATGTCATATTCTCAAAAGGTTGTTATTCGGCCGTGGACATATGCGAGTCTAGCGGTAGTTGGGCAGCTACTCAAGGATAATATTACGCGCCGACACGCCGCGCGCATATGACATCTCACCTGGAGAGGTGTCCGCAAGGCCATCTACAGCAACCCTAAATGCTACCACACATGACTATGCGTAGATATCGCACGGGTCACATCACGTGAGTTTGATGAACATGCCTGCTAGCTTGCGCCGAACCAGCTTCCGTGTATCCAAACCTTGCTGAGCTTCATGATCGAAGATGGCAATTCGCACCACCAGCGGTGGGCGATCGATCTTCGCTGCACCCCACCAAGTCACAGTTGCGTCTGAGTTCAAGAGCCATCTCGTATCTTATTCCGTGCATCCGTCTGATATGCTATTGGATGATTACGAACAGTAAGTAGTTAGGGGTCTTCGCACCTGTTGGACGCAAATCTATGCAGTTAAGGACTGTCTTGAGAGATCTATGGAGTAACATGGTTTCTTTAAAGAGGGATTTGATTCTGTTGTGGATGTAATTGACTAAGAAATGGTTTGTA